CAGAAATATGTTTTGAAAGTTTCTGATTATTCTTTGTCTTTCTTTTTGAAAGTCTGAAAGTTTTTACTCTTCAACTTTGTGGTATAACCTTGTTATTATTCTGAGATATCTCTTAATTTTGCTGCTATCACATTTACTATTAGGTATTCCTAACTTCCAAGTCATCATGAGCTGTGTGAAATTTTCAGAGGAGCATATAAAGGAAACACACCAGTAAGGATGCGGTGAGTATACTGGGGACACTTGCTCACTGAAGCTACAACTAAACTCAGAATGGGCTATGAAAACACTTCTAATTCTCTGCAACTCTTCGTTTTTTTAAAGGCATTTTACAAAGTTTTTTTTTTTTTAAGTTTGGCAAATATTTCCAACTCTAATCACAAATGTATTTCTAACGTTAGCATATAAATGGGCTATTGCATTCTAAATAGTGTCATGTTGAGCATTTGAAACAATTAAGCACAATATTTGTTATTTCCTTCTGATTGCTTTAAAGTTATTATAGAAATAAAACATTAAAATGTTATCAACAATAAGTAAATGTGTAGATAAATTCAGATTATAAATCATAGTGGAAAAGAAGCTAGGATGGTAGAATGCATATATAAATTCACACTAAAGCTCTTCATCCTATGAAAAATTGTTCATTTAGGGCTTCAAAAATGTCCTTGTGTTGCACTAAATCAAGTACTGTATGACTTAGCAGCATTATATTTGCTACCATATGTTGTGGTATAAAAATAAACTAGACTCTTTCCAGCATCTTTTTTCAGTGTAAGAAATGCATCCAAATAGTAGACCCCAGGTCCTGGCATTAATCAATGGCTTTCTGACCCTGTAAAACATCCATCAGTTTCCTACTTTGTGATACTTGACTTCTATAAATGCAATTGTTTATGATTATTATTAGTAGTAGTAGTAGTAGCTGTTAAAATATATAAAAGGCCTGGCATTCGGACTTTAAAAATAAACAAATAGGGTTTCCAGAGTAAACCACACTGGATTTAAATCCAAGACCTGCCATTTTATCACTGTGTAAACTTGGCCAAATTACTTAACTTTCTGGGCTTTAGTTTCTTCATCTGTAGAATGGGACTAATAATACATTCTCCTTAGTGTTCTTACAAGGGTTTGGGGCATGCTATATAAATTCCCTAGCTCACAGATAAGCCACAAATGCTCACTATTTTTAATAGCCCCATGATATAAGATCACATTTCCAGAAAGCTCTCTAGCTTCTCATGTCCAACCCAAAATTGCTCCTCTCACCCTGGCCAGATGGCTCAATTGGTTGGAGCATTGTCCTGTACACCAAAGGGTTGTGGGTTCAATTCCCAATCACGGTACATACCTAGGCTGCAGATTTGACCCCCGGTTGGGGCTTGTACGGAGGCAACCGATCAATGTTTCTCTCCCACACTGATTTTCTCTCTCCCCCCCAGCCCTCTTTCTAAAAAAGAAATCGATAAAATCATATCCTCGTGTGAGGATTTAAAATAAATAAACACACACACACACACATATTGCTCAACTCTCAGTAGCTACTGGGGAAATTCTGATTTCCATTTGCAGCATGCCAGCAAGTGAGCACAGCCCATTTAAATCAAGGGTTTCTTCATTGCAGATAAATAGCCTGGTTCTGATTTTACTTTTTTAAAAGGTGGTGATTACATATTGCTGCCAATTGTGCATTCTTGTTTTGAGTTGAAAGAGACAGAAGCTAGACACAGTACACTCTTAGAAATCTGAAGAGTCTTACTAATAATTTAGAAAATTGAAATACAAAAGACTGAAATCGGGAAGCTTTTCACAAATGCCTGTAAGACTCAAACTCCCTTTCATTATCAATTCTACAGACTTGGAGTTAATTGAGTTTCAGGGCACATTGCAAGGTACATCTCTTCACTGTGCTTTTCCTTAATTAGTACAAATGTTTGGTCCCTGAGAAAGGTGGAAATAGAAGGCTTGCTTTTGTGTTTGTTAATGTTTTCTGTTTTTTATTCACTGTTTGCACCCAGAGGCCCATGTGAATGACACATTTTTGTTAAAATCAAGAATAAATATTATGTAAATCATACCCCGAAACAGCAGCTATGGAGTCTAATTATTTTAAAGTAGCTTAGAGAAGGGTTTATTTTGGTTGTCTAACCAAAACAAAGCATTACGAGTAATGCATATGCTAATGGTTTGTGCTTCTCAATATTAGCATTTGGAGACAATACACTAATGATCTTTGTATCCCAACAGCTGGGAGAACATATTTAACATGGTGGGTGTTCAATTAATGCTCCCAATAATATGGAGCAATTACTGAGGCAACTAATAATATCATGGGACAATCAATTATATATAAATAATTTGTTATTAAATAAAATGTATAGTTTGAAATACTACACGGCTGTGCATGTATGTGAAACACATACTAGTATATATTTCCCAAAAATACCTTTTCAAAATCTCTTTCCACAAGTAAAATTAGCACCCCAGTTTTACCAGTGTACCAGTCAGTTTGGTTTCCTCTGCAGGGTTTTTCAACCCCAGCACTACTGACATTTTCGACCAGGTAATTCTTTGTTGTGAGCACCATCCCTGGCCTCTACCCACAGATGATGGTAACTAGCATTCCTCCCCCAGTCACGATGACCAAACATGTCTTTGGACATGTCAAATGTCCTCCAGTGGAGGAAACTTTGACCTTGGTTGAGAACCACTGTGCTGTGTGGAATGCATGTTTCGGGGTATGCTGGCAACTATAGAGCAACAGTGAAAGAAGTTTGTCCCTGACCTAATTTCTTGCACATTTGGCCTACCTTTTGGCACATACATGCCACTCTTCATAGCATTTTAAAAATTCATTATTGCCTACTTTGAATTGCAAATCTTCCCATCATTGCTTTGATTATATTTGTTTATACTTGCCCGTCGTTTCTTCTCTGCCCCACTGATATTGCTGGATAAATGTCAAAGAGGTCAGCACAAGGCCTTTTCACGGTTTCTCTCTGGCTTCTCCCTACAACCTCAGCACTTGCCCGTCTCGCACAGGTAACCTGTGCTCCTCGGGCACAGAAACTACATTACCTTACTCTAATTCTTCATCTGTCTCATCCTTAACCTGGGTTTGGAGCCTCAATTCAATCTTCAGCTCATTCTGTCTGGAAGATGTTGTGCACACTTTTTCCATGCACACTTTCATATCTTTATCACCCTATCAAAAATGCAATTTTTTCAAGTTTATCTCTCCGCTGGACTTCATGTTGCTGCTGCTGTGTGTGCATGCGTTAATTTCTTTATCATGAGGACCTCTGTAATAGTCGCATATGACAGGTGCTTTACCTATCACTTAAAACTGAATTCACCTCCCACCTTTTAATTAAAAGGTATAGACTATATCATTATCATTTTAATATTCAAAAGAAAGTCTTACCAATGTTTATCAAATACTTTATATGAAACTAACAGCATGAAATAATTTTATTCTCAAAGGCGCTGCCCCTTTTGGTAAAAAAAAAGGGGGGCCACATTTGCAAATATCCTTTATAATTGCATTTTTAATATACTTAGACAAATTATACTTAATGTTAAGTATCAAAAATGTCATTGAAATATGGCATTCTATGGAATGCTGAAACATAGCAGGCTTTCCTCTAGTTGGAAAACTAAGCACGTCGACTCCTACCTCCACCCCTTACAGGTCGATTTCTATCGCCGGGGTTACGCATACTGTTCTGTACACTTTGACCACCCTGCTTGTTCAAGCGGCGTCCGGCTCTTGGTCTCAGTGTGACAGAGGCTTGCCATTGACAGGGTGCCCCTCCTGCACTCATGAAGCAGGAGGCTGAATACATACATGTGTGCACTTTACATTGTTTCCCTCTTTGCATGAGTACCATGGACATTTTTTTTTTTTTTTTAGCTGAAACAATCATGCTTAAATAAAAGGAAATTGAGAGACTTTATAAACATTACATAGGTACCAAGGGGAATATTTACTACGTTAGCTTTTGTTAAAATTGATGAGAACTCTAGAGAGTAGGAATAAAGATTGGGAAAGCAGATTTACTAAGAATTTCCAACTTTCTAGGGCCTTAAGATCACCCAAGGGTAAAAATTCAGGGTAATTAAATAGTCTTCTACATTTATGCAGTCTTAGATTTTGTCATAACTGAGACAAAAAAAAATATTTCTGATTATGCAAGGAAAATTTATCTCCACTGCATGGCATACTAACATAATAAAATACTGCACACTTACTGACTGTGCTAATTACTTTGTATCAATCTATTTTAATTCTATCAACATATTTATGCAGCATTATTAATCCTTTATTCATATATTTGTAATTTACATTCCAGTTGAAAGACTGTGTCGTCAAGACTCCAGAATTCCCACATTCACCCTCCTGGCTTCAGAGTCTAGTCTCTAAGTCGGCACTTAGGCAGCCTTGGAGAAGCTGACATTTATTGAGTGACTACGGGGGGTGCAGCCCACTCTGCGTATCACTTTATGCTCAGTGCTTCATGATTTCCCACAATAACTGAGAGAGAGAGAGTAGTTTTCTTCTTCTACAGGTAGGAGTAGATGATTTCCTAAAGGAACACAGCTATTGTGACAGAACCTGAAGTCAGATAAGTGTTATCTCAAATCCTCCTCTTCTGTACTATATATTTCCTGTCGCTAAGGGACTGAAGTTTCTTTACTTTGTGATTAAATATTTCTACAAGATTTTCCAGTCAATTATGATTATGACTTAATCATATCTATTAAGTCAAATGGAAAAACTAATTTGTGTGGTCAAGGATATACTCATAGAGATAGCTACATATATTCTTAATTTGACAGAAACCCATCTGCTACATTACTCAGTTAAAGAATCAGTCATATAATATAATTGTATTAATAGAAAAATAACATAGATATATTTCAAGTATTATTTTATAAATTTTAAATTACTGTGAGGCCACCAAAATATTTATATATTTAAATTGTGAAGCATACCATACCTTACTAAGCTATTAGCACTGTCGGGGTCTTGTGCCAAAACTGTGCCCACAGGAGTTCCAACCTTGGCATTTTCATAGACTTCCATGACATAGGAGGGCATGGAAAACAGGGGTGGCTCATCTACATCCCCAACAATGATCTTCAGCATGGTAGCATCTTTAAAAGGACCCAAGTGAGAGAAGCGGAAATCAAGGTGTGTATTGGCTCCTTCTATGTTGAGGGTGTAGGATTTCTTTTTCTCATAGTTCAGTGGCTGTGGGGAAAAAAACAGATTTCCAATATCATGACTGTTATCACTTTCAAACAAGCTTTTTTTTTTCTTTTCATTTTTGAAACAAGCGAGTATGAATAGATCAAACTCCATCTATTTTCTTTTAAAAACAAACTATGAAGTTTATCTTAATAAAAATATCTAAAACAGAAACCGTGGAAACTCATTTGAAATAAATCGTGACTTTTCACAGCCATAAATATGATGATACCTGAGTGCAAAAAAAAATATTCCCCACAGGGAAACAAAGATTGCTTTTTGGAGACTCTCATTCGTAGACTCCTCAAGTAACATTTTTCTATCTCCTTGCCTACCTAACCTACATTATTAATTTTAAAAACAGTTGCTACTAATGTGTTAAATTTTAAAGACAGATTTTTTTTTTTTGCATTTTGCATTTAAATTTTATCATATCATTGATTTGCATCTATCATCATCTTATTTTTTACCTTGCTGGTTTTAAACTTCATATTGTATTTTTAAGTTCTCAATTCAATAACATTTTCTTGGAATTTTAGCAAAAAAATTTATAGACTTTTGAATTTCATTTTTGTTTTGTTTTTCATTTATTTGCTCTTTTATTAGTAATAGTATTTCATGTATTTGTTATTTTAGTTTACTATATCATATTGTGGTATAATCAACTTTGTTCTTTAAAATATAGTCTTTTTATCTGTTTCATTTATTTTTTAGCTTTGAGTTTTTACTAATATTATAATCTTTTTAGTGTTTTCTTTTTAAAAAAATATTATCCAAGCAATATTTATTTTTCTTCTATTAATAATATACACATAGCTCATGGCCAGGCAATAGTGCAGAGAAGGCCTGGGGAGGGGGCAGAGTG